TGCTCGTGACGGGCTGGGGTGGCAGGGCCACTGCTCTGCGCCTAGGTCAGCGTGGCCCATGGAAGCCTTCCTGAGGGCCGGTGGGCAGTGGGGCCTGGGCCGTGGGAACCGGGGCAGAATGAACAGCTCCGGGGGAGCACTGGTGTGCCGGGGGCCGGGCACTACCTGGGGACCGGCTGGAGGTCCTGGAGGCCGCACGTTCCCGGGACTTGTAGGGGTACTTGAGCGTGGTGTCCAGCTGCTTGAAGCTCTCCTTCAGAGAGTGGCACTGGTAGTACTCCACCAGCTCCTGCAGGACATGCCCACTGACTGCCACCGCCTCCAGGCAGGCCTCCCGGGTGCCCCGGCCGCCCTCTGCCATCTCCTCAGGTTCACCCAGGGGACTCCTCTCCTGGGCCCCCGAGAGCCCCCCTCCTCCTCTTCCCCCAGCACCAGGCCCAGGGCGGGTGGCCGGCATCCCAAAGACCTTTGCGCCAGTCATTTCTCTCCCAAACGTTTCTAAAGGAAAAGCCCGTGAAATGCTGAGGTCGGGGGCGGGGGTGCTCCGGCAACCCTTTATATGGAGGAAAGCGGGAACCCCACGTGCCCAACACCAGGGAAATGCTTCTAGAAGTAACAGCTTGTCCAGTGGCCGAGGCCACGCGGGCACCAGCCAGGAAAAGTGGGGGTGGACTGACCGGCATGAGAGCAGGCCGGGGGCACGGCACAGCCCGGCCAGGGGTTCTGTTTGAAAACATGACATAAGCCACAGCGAAGCTCTCCTGGGCGGTGCGTGGGGTTTAGGGGCGGCAGTGTGGGACTTCGTTTACTTGGCGCTTCTCTGTGGCCGCTGTGGGTCTAAGAGCTCAGATGGTCTCAGTACATGGACCACGTGAAGTAGGAGAACAAAGGGGTCCGGCCTTGAAGTCACCTCAAGGAGGACTATGCCGTGAGCTGCATCGGCTGGACTGTGACCACGCAGTGGGGAGGTGGGGAGAGGGGCTGGCGGGGCAGGGGTGCTGTGGGGAGCAGCCGGGGGCGAGGTTGGCCCACACCGGGCCTCACTGGGCCATGGCTTCCGGCTCCGGCAGGAGGACCGGCTGGGCCCTCCCTGTCACTGTCCACCACGGTCAACCCACCTGGCCCTTTGGGGGACTTGGGGGACAGTCCTGACTCAGGGGCCCCAACTGCCCCAAGGCGCGGGGTGCAGGAGGCCTCTCCTTGGAGTGGCGGCATGGGGGCCAGGGCCTCCCCCGACCCTGGGGCCAGGCTGGCGGGAGCCGCAGAACCGCGTACCAAGAGGCTTTCAAACTTCTTGGCTTCCGTGATGTGAATCCAGCTGTCTTTCTCCACCACCTTAATGTGCTTCACCTCGTCGTTGAACCTGGCAAAGTACAGGGCGCGGCGGTCACTGACGGGCCACACGGCCCTGCCCCTCGGGGCCAGACTCGGGAGCCGAGCCCCACCTGGGCCCTCAGCTCACACCTGCTCTCCAGCCCCACCTGCTCCGGGCCTGCCTCCGGCGGCTTGTCTGTCTGTCTGTCTGTCCGCCTCTCCTGCCTGAGCTCCAAGCTCCCAGCCCGGCCTGCACCGCCTCCCCCAGCCACTTCCTGACTCGGGGTCCTGCTCACCCTCCTCTCTGCCCTGGGACCCCTCCGCCTCCTGTTTCCCCAGCGCCCGCCAGGCCTGCGCAGCCAGGGTTGTAGGTCAAAGGCCTGACCTTGGCCCGGGGGCCTGAGGAGGCAGCCCCACCCCAGCTTTGACACCATCTCCTAATATTCTCCCACTCCACACCCTGGTCCACTCCGGCCGGCCGGCCCGGCTCTTCCTCAGACACGCCAAGCACATGCCCGCGGGGCCGGCACTGGCTGCCCCTCTGCCATCCTCTCCATGCCCTGTGTCCTCAGGTCTCAGATCCAATGTGGCCTTACTGGTGAGCCTCCTCCCCCGGCCCCCTCAGGTGCCATGCACCCTTGCAGCTGACACCAACCCCAAAGACCCACAAGGAAGAAAATGCCCCACCAACACCCCTTACGACTGCAGATGCTAAACCTTCAACCACCGGATCTCTCCACACCGACGTCTACACAAGCCCCGCGCATACGAAGGACGTCACACCACAGCCACGTGGGATCACAGGGAGGCGAGACGGTGACACAGGACGCCCTGCGTGGGGCTCTCACCCCGTCCCGCTGACAGCAGGCCCCTAATCCCTGGCCTCCCGCCTGGCCCAAGACTGCTGTCCAGTGGGTGGTCGATGCCAATGGTGACCAACGACCAATCAGATTCTGTCTCTTGGAGAAGTGACAGCAGACCCAGGGTGGAGGGGCGGGGGGACAGCTCTGGGCAGGAGGGCACCCCGACTGAAGACCACTGGCGGGAGCTGCAAGATGGCAGCTGTGTGACCCTCGTGCTCTCCGAGGCCCCCTGTGGGGCGCTGGGCAGCCCCTGACCCTCTCAGCATCCCTGTCTGCTCTGTGGCCGAGCTGGGAGCCCCTGACCCTCCCAGCATCCCTGCCTGCTCTGTGGCCGACCAGCATCCCTGCCTGCTCTGTGGCCGAGCTGGGAGCCCCTGACCCTCCCAGCATCCCTGCCTGCTCTGTGGCCGACCAGCATCCCTGCCTGCTCTGTGGCCGAGCTGGGAGCCCCTGACCCTCCCAGCATCCCTGCCTGCTCTGTGGCCGACCAGCATCCCTGCCTGCTCTGTGGCCGAGCTGGGAGCCCCTGACCCTCCCAGCATCCCTTGCCTGCTCTGTGGCCGAGCTGGCAGCCCCTGACCCTCCCAGCATCCCCTGCCTGCTCTGCGGCCGAGCTCGTCCAGTCCCTGGAACCTAGAAACGTCCGGCCGAGCTCGCAGGGCAGCTGTGGGCTGACGGCAGCCAGGATGTTCACGCCGGTCCCGGGCCAGTGAGGGGTGCGGACCCGTGGACACCCTTTCACCTCGAGCGTGTCCAGGTTTGGGCGCTACATGCCACGGCCGCCCAACCCAACGTTGACCTGCAGGGGACGTGGGCTCTGAGGTCCGAACGGCCTCGGGGACACGTACTTGATGCTGATGGCGAAGCGCTCCGCCTCGGCCGGCCGCTCCCGGACCAGGTAGGTTCCACTGGCGTGGGATTTGAGCAGGTTGTCCGTCTGCTGCCGCTCCATGTTGCCTGCGAACCTAGAGCGACGGAGGAAGCGAGGTGGTCACGCTGACGGCCTGTGACCGCATCCCGCCCGGGACAGCAGCTCTCATCTGCAGAACGAGCCCGTGAGGAGTGAGGGCCCCCGCACTGCAGCTGCCCCTGCTGCAGCCACCGCGGGCGGTCACTCTCGAGGCAGCCTGGGGACCTGGCAGGCTGAGACGAAAGCCAGACCCTGGGCCACCTGCACCTGCGGCTCACACCTAGAGCGCCACCTTCACGCCTGTAGTAATGCGAACATCCCACTGCTCCCAGGGAGCTGCTGCACAGGTAAGCACGCGGTAAACCTGGCCTTAGATACACCACTTCCACGTATTGTAGCGACTCTTCATGCAGAGAGCGTAAGAGGGGACTTCGCTCTCCCAACTGTGCCCCCTGATGACCGGCTCTGGCAAAGGAGGCTGCTGCCAGGGATGGGGGAGACGCCCAGACCCAGGCGATCAGGGCCGCGGACGGAGCAGGGCGGGCAGCTGGGCTCCGCTGCCTGGAGAACCCAGACCCCGCCTGCTCACGGGCTTGTGGGCCACCCTCACAGCCCAGAGATGCCCCCCACAATCCAAGGGCCACCCACAGCCCAGGGGCCAACCCCACAGCCCAGGGGCCACCCACAATCCAAGGGCCACCCCACAGCCCAGGGGCCAACCACAGCCCAGGGCCACCCCACAGCCCAGGGCCACCCCACAGCCGGGGCCACCCCAACAGCTCAGGGGCCACCCCAACAGCCCAGGGGCCACCCCAACAGCTCAGGGGCCACCCCAACAGCTCAGGGGCCACCCCAACAGCTCAGGGGCCAGCCCACAGCCCAGGGGCCACCCACAGCCCAGGGCCACGCTGGTCGGCTCACCAGGGGTAAGCACTGTAGTCGATCTCCCGGGACGGCAGCCGGCCGATGGGTGGCTGGCAAAAGAGAACACGGGGGTTAATGCCCCCCGCAGGGGCCGTCCACACAGTGGGGGTAAAGGGGGCTTGTCGGCAATGACCTGACCCTTGGGCCCCGGAGCCACTGGACTACAGCGTCCCTGAGGGCAGTGACCAGGACTCACCACCTCTGAGTGACTCAGTCGGTTTGAATGAGTGAATGAATGGATGAGTGATGATTGGTTAAGTGAATGAATGAAGGAGTAGCAACCAGCCACCAGGCACCCATTCCCAGGAGGGTGACAAAGGCTGCAGAACTTCTCGGGGGCCATGAGCACCCCACAGCTCCCAGCGCTCAGCCCGAGGCCCCAGGGCAGGCATCATGGTCTCCAGGGGGCAGCTGCACGTAGGCATGTGACCCCTCGAGGGGCCTCCCTGGCTGGAGCCCCCGACTGCCCCTGGCTGGGCCACAGGATGGGCAAAGCCTCAGATGAGCTATCCCCTTCCCACCCCTTCACTGTGCAGATGGGGAAACTGAGGCCCAGAATGGGGACGAGACCGGCCCCAGGCCACCGGGTGTTAGCGACACGTCCTCCTCTGCCGTGCGGTGCCCTTGACCTGCCAGCAAAGCCGGTCCCAGACCCCAGGTGTCCTCCTGCGCCCTCCGCCCCCTGGGCAGGGAGGCCGCA